CCCCCCCCCCCCCCCCCCCCCCAAAGTTCTAAACAAGTTTCTAATTTTGGAAGGTTGAGATGTTTTCAGTGAGGTTCAAATCGAAAGGATTTTCCTCATTTCGATAATATTATTAATTGGATCAATTTGAGTGGCAACATAGTTCAATTGAGGGAGCCCTAGCGCCCTTATCAAGTACTAGTCGCGCTACCCTGTAACCTTAACAGCAGCAAGTCATTAAGTAGGCCATTTGAAATTGTAAAATCTGGCTTCCGAGCTACGATTCCTGGAAACGATTGGCCCCTTTCGAGTTAGTCCAGCTGCCATCTTATTCAGGCCTAGAAAATATATTTCTCTTCCCGGTAGCAATTAAAACCCCAAACTAAAAATTTCCTGTGTAAGTCAAATATAGAACCGTCTTGCTTATGCATGGTCCTGCACAGTGTGATAAACTTCAATCTGGGCATAAGACAATCTCTAACGCTTTTTTAAACAATAAGTAAATTATATCACATTCCAGTACACAAGACGACAAAAATTTCCTGCAAGATTAACTTTTCCATTTGCATGTTCGCCTGCGCATTAATTGCGATTTGTCGGGACAGGTTTAGCCAGATATTTAAAAACTACGCAGTTTTAACAAATTTTTATTTATTCTGATATAGTCGATCAAATTATCAAACCTGATATTTCATATATATAATGATTTCCAACAACATTCAACGCACAATGGTCTGGATCATACTGGTGATGAGCGTAGTCACAGATGTAGAAGCCGAAGCATATGAAGATAGCGAGATATTTTATCAGGTCAAACAAGGTATTTACAAAATATTATTAAAGAATAAAGGTTGATTTTAGATCGATCACCGCTTGTATAAACACGTGTGCATGGGTTGGTTTTGCAAAAGCAAGATTCTCTTCTGTCAGTTTTATTAACATGTTAACAACATTATTGACTAGTGGAATCCATTATATCCAGAATTGCCTTGCCAATCAATTGTAGTATAACGCCCCCATACAGTAAACTTAGCTCTGTATTTCTTTTAAAAATCCCGTTTCATTTACCCACGACAGATTTAATTGATGAACTGGATTTCCTATATACGACAAAAATAGAAACGATCTATCAAAGAACGGGGCATGGGGTCCTATACTACTGATGGGGAATCGTATACTACAACGATCCCTCAATTGCAAGACCATATATAGCTCGAACGAAAGTAATCAGTCAGAAAAATTGATCAGATCACTTTTAATAATATTTTTCCAGGTATTCGATCTCAGCGCAAAGCTTTCAAAAGGTCAAGAGTGATGACAGCATTGGATTGCGTCTTGTCTTGCTTTGGTGAAAAAACTTGCAAATCTTTCAATTATGCTGAACCTACTTCTGTTGTTGGGGATTGCCTCCCTTGTTTCGCCCAACAATTCACGTACAAATTAAAACCACAAATAAATTCACAATGACGATATACAGTTTGGATATATATATATATTCGAACAAACAAAACAAATTTAACAAATTAAAGGTTCACTTAGATTCTCTTCTCTCGCAATATCACAAGTCACGCTCTCGAGGAAGTTTTTCTCAACACA